CGTTACGTTTGATTTGGTCTAAGTTTATTTTTTCCGTCTCTCCTAAACAGGGCTGTCCCTGGGGGAGGGCGGGCCGAGCATACTTTCAGGGCCCATAAAAAATAGGGAATCAATTTTTGAGTATGTATAGTAATAGTTTAAAAAAGTTGGTAAATAAAATAGATACGTTTTTTTAGTGTCTAATAGGACCCAAAAAGAATGTACTATTATATTAAGGACCCAAACATGTATTAGGGGTCGTTTACCAAACACTTACCCGGTAAGTGCTTACTGGTAAAATTTAACATTATTGTTTACTTGTCGGGTAAGATTTTAATCCACCGAAACGACATCATATGCAACAATTTACCCGGTAAGCAGTGGCGGATCTAGAAACTATTATGGTTGGGGGCACACTTAGGAGGGTCGAAAAAATTTCGAAACCGAACAATTCGTCCGAACCAAAAAAAGGTTTCGGGTTTTCATTTTCAGCTTAAACTGTTCGGTTAACCGAATAAAGATAACTRATGCGGTTGAAGTAAGCTAGGATGATATTCCGAAATCTTTTTCCTATCGCCTGGATTCCAAGAAAGATCGTTCAAATCAATTTCGTAAGGCATCGAAAGAGCAGAGCTCGATTCAGATGTTGATGTTTTCCTTTTAAAAAATATTTCCATTTTTTTCTAGCAATAACAGTAACAAGATAAAAATCAATGGTTTAATAACATTTCTATTTGCCTACAAAATTAACCTAACATATGACATTGCCATTTGATTTGCCTACAAAATTAACCTAACATTTGACATTTCCATGGACCATTTGACTTGCCTACAAAATTGCCTACAAAATTAACCTAACCTAAAGCATTTAGCACCAAATCACCAATAATCAAAGTAGCAAACAACAAAATCTAAGAAGTAATTAAAATTAAAGACTGGATCAAAGAAGTAATTAAAATTAAAATTAACCTAACCTGAGGGTTGAGGCAGCATCCAACAGCAATGGCCGATGTCCGACGAAGATTGTTAGACTCAGATTGATGAAGAAGAAGTGGTGTCGCATAAAATTAACCTAATCTCGAGTCTCGTTCTCGTCTGTCGTCTCAGACTCTCAGTCGTCTGCGGTCTGTCGTTCGTAACATCGTTCCTCCTCTGTCTCTCTCGTCTGTCGTCTCGTCTGGGCGTCAAGTTTAGGAACTTAGGCCATTAGGCGTGAACTGGTGAAGTGAATGAGGGGGCCTCTTATATCATGGTGTTGGGGGCCCAATTGTACTCAATTGAAAATTACAAGTAAAAAAAATTTTGGGCTTTGTAAGATAGTTTTTGTTGGAGGCCCAGGACCCCAACCAGTCCTCACTGCATCCGCCATTGCCTGTAAGCGCTTACCATGGTAAGAGTCGTCGCCCTCACTTACCGGGTAAGACTCATGGTCCTTGTCTCGCTCTTACCGGGTAAAATTTTTGGTCCTTACCATATTCATCCGGTGAGGTAACATGACTTGGTAAGTACTTACCCGAATAAGTGTTTGGTAAACAGCCCCTTAATTAATTACATTGGATAAGAAACTATGTAAAAAGGTTAATTGGTCGTTCATTCACTACAATAATTTCTTAATAAAAACTATAGTGACTGTAAGTATAATTTTTTTTAAATCAGACTTCAGCATCTCTTAAAAAACAAATACCACATAAAACTCCATTACATCATTCACTACAATAATTTCTTAATAAAAACTATAATGACTGTAAGTATAATTTTTTAATAGGAAATTGGTTTTTGATAATTGTTAATATCAAGTAGTTATGTATTAGTAAATAACATAAAAAATTGTTTTATGTTACATCATATAAATAATGTTTTATGAATTATGTTTATAAGAATATATTGGTTATAAAAGAATACAAATATTCTGATCATATTAATAATTGATATAATTTTTTAATTTATGAAATTATAACTTTAACATTATATTTGATTTTTTTTTATAAATTTAACATACATTAATATATTAATAAATTTATACTATACTATATTATAAAACATTTGACAAAAACTCTTAAAATCATTTTTTATGCACGAAATACTGTTTATTGATGTACATTACTTAAAATTTAAGATTACAAGTAAATTGTGCATAAGTACAACTTATTAAAGCTCCATATTTGAATTCGTGTAACTAACTGCAGATAAACATAATCAAATATTGGATAAACATCTTGTTTTAAATATGAAAAATCTAAAATATAATTAGGATAATCATAGTATTCTAACAGAATATTTAGTTATTATCTTTTAAAAAAATTATATTATTAAACCTAAATTAAATTATAACTAAAAAAAAGTTAATTAAGGAAATTACACCAAAACACAAAAACTTTTAAAAAGATTAATTTGATAATGATATCGATATTTTTTTATAAAAAAATTATGATATTTTTAGATTTATATTTTATTCAAAAATAAAAACATTATCGTTTTCTCAAAACCACATAAAACCGTATTATATCGACATAAAAAAAGAATAAAACGAAACAGTGAAATTAAGATGTGTCTCGATGCATTGCATGAGTACCCTTCTAGTATTACATAATAAAAATATATACTTAACACAAGTAAAATTACATAATTGTCCGTTTAAAAGTTTTTTGAATTTGATGTTCATACAATCTCATTTTTAATGCATAGTTATAAAAATGTATTTATTGAATCAAAAACATTTTATAAATTAATTATAAAAATTATTTAAATAATATATTATTTGGTATTAAGTTACCGTAAAGAATATTTAATTGCAGTTTTGTTATTATTTGATTAAAATATAATTTTTATGATGAGGTGTCATTAAGAAATTGGTTATAAATAATTGTAGTAGAAGATAACTTCTAGATAATTTCAAAAGTTGATGTCACAGTGACACTTAAATTATGTTAGAAATTGTATTGTAGTGGATGGGTCGAAATTGTTTCTCCTTCGACTTCTATATTCATCACTTTCTCGACCTGCTCCTGCTCCAACCTGCCGCATAACCTTCTCGATTTGACACAGTCTGCTTTTCAAATATGGAAATTGGAGGTGTATCACTTTGTAACTGCAAAGTGCCTTTTAAGGTTTTCTTGATCTGATCCAACCATGATTTATTGCCAGAATTTAGACCGGAAAAAAGGTTTACAGAAACCACTTGGTGCTTGAAAATTGGGTTTTTCAACCACTATGATTTGTGTTATATGTTTTTGACTATCAGTCAATGTTTTAAATTCTTACACAGGGAGAGGGGAGAGGATTATGTTCACATTTTTTCTGTAAAATCTAAACCTGCAACTCATCAACCACTGTTCAGGTACGGATATTTAATGGTTATTAAAATCATTGATTAACGTATATTTTTTCTAATTTTTTTTATATTATAATGAGTAGAAACATTGGTCTAAATCTTATTTTCTCACCTAAATATGTTGGTTATTGTACAAGAGGTAATGAGTTATTGTTTTGCATAGGGTGAATTTGGATGACTGGAATCAACACTAAATGTGTCCTAAAATCGTGGTATTCCATCAACCACTATTCAAGTACGGATATCATACCTCACTTGACACAGGGATAGTCATTTGGGTAAGGCTTCCTAATCCAAATAAATTATGATAAATTCCGAACACATTGGTTCTAAATTCTCATGGTGCTTGGTAAATGCTACTGAGCTTTTATTTCTTGTTGAAATATGACTTAAATTCTCATTTGGAACATGGATCACTTGACTTGTTATTTTGAATCTATTATGAACCCCTTGAATAGACTCAATATTATGGGGCACCGGCATTGAGATGTTTCTATGATGACTAAAACAATCATGGCATCCTCATATAAATAGTCCTTAAAAGTGGACTTGACTACGTACTAATCAAATAGAAGGCATATGGATCGATCATAAAAACCGTTATCGGAGATTAAGTTGCGGTTGTGGTTAAATCCAAGGAGAGGATTATTGTGTTGTGCTCGCACTCCTTTCCTCACACATGCCCAAATGAACTAATCATCTTTTGGGACAACACATCATTGTGATGCAGTTTGGTGTTCGAACCCTTAACATGCCTTTAGGACATTTATTGTATTGACTTTCTTTTAGAACAGTACGACTCATAAAAACACAAGCTCTATGGAGAAATCATACCTTAAATCGAATGATTTCAGACTTCTTCCCAAAACTTATGGCTACAATCTTTGCTTTGCTTTGCTTTGGCTTCAAAACACACCAAGAACTTGATTTCTTGTTAGCTTGTTTTATGATTTTGTGAGGAAACAATGTAGAGGTTTTACTATGATCCCTCTTGATCATAATCTGATTTTGGGGTTTATAATCCTTCTAAACCTCTTATAGGTCCCGCAAGACCACTAGGTTTTTCCTGACTGTTCTTCAGGGACTCGGGTATTACTCTAGGTTGTACGCAAGCTGGTCTGACCCAGACACCCACGGTTAACAAAAAGAAAGCCCACTTCTTACAATCAATGGCACTCTGCATGTACTTTCTTCACAACATTATCCCCCTATCTGAACCCTAAACCATACTCCCTACTTTGGGGTGTTGCATTTCCTTTAAACATAGTTAAGATGCAGTTTGTGTGTTTTGGGTTCTGAATCAGGCACAATAGGTAGACACCCCATTATATGATTACATTTTCCTTCAGTTACATATTCAAACCCAAAAAAACTGTATCAATTGCATACTAATACTAAATATCATATCAATTACATCATCTCAGAAAAATATGAAAATTATATAATTTTATCGTTAGTAATGACTTTGATTTTTAGACTTCTACGTAATCATTATATATGAAAAATTACTCAAACTTTATAGTTTACAATTATGGGTTCGGTTAGGACCAGCACTGTAGCACGACCATGAGCCCGGTGACCGGACCGGACCAGACCTATAAGGGATCAGACCAGACACCCGTCCTTTTGTGTGCCTTTACTACTGAAAATGACCCGTTGGTTAATTACCATCAAGAATTGGTAGATTTAAATATGAATCCAAACCAAATTGGTATTTATTGAAAAAAAAAAGCTTACAAGCTTTTCTTTATATTGCTAATCTTGAAACATTACATAAACTAAAGCAAACTAAAGTCTAAAACACAAAGGTTGTGGGATTCATGTGTACCATACAACTACAGAAGTTTGGCTAACTTCTCTGTTCCATGATACATCATCCCTTATTTAATATACAAAGATAGTTTCATGTACCTGTACATAGCAGTTCACTTGAGCTCTGAAGTAGCCTCCGTGTCCAAGAACCATGTCAGACCTCCTTCAGGTGAAACCTTCTGCACCGGCAATGGGTAACCATAAGAAGCATGTTTTCCCAATGCCACCTTAACTGCATCGGCTGCATCTTCTCCGGTCACCACCATTGCAATCTCCGATGCTGAATTGATCAAAGGAAAGGTGAAGGTGATCCTAGGAGGAGGAGGTTTGGGTGAATCCGTGATGAATGTCACCCATCTCTTCTTCTCAAACCGTTGAAAATGCCAACAGAAAAGGGATGCAACGTGCCCATCTGGACCCATTCCGACTAACATCAAATCAAATTTAGCAAACCCTGTAATTGGTGATGTTTTTAGTGTCTTGTTTGCTACCAAATTTTTAAGGCGCTGCTCGTATTCATCCGCTGCATCCTCGGGTGATAATCTTTCCTTGATAGGATAGATGTTAGACTCAGGTATTGGCACCTAGCAGTAATACCATATTTGAATAATCAGCAACAACTTCACGTGCCAAGGTTGTAAAGATAATTAACACAAGGAAAACATCAAGTGACATCTCATTTGACTAATTCGCTTGTTTCCTTCAATATATGAAAATTGATAAAATCATCACAACTTTCTCAAGTACCACCATTTAAGCCAGTTCTTGAACTTATACATGGACTTTTCAATCTCAGAAATTTCCAAACTTGCAGGTCTCACGCCCAAAGAACTTGTTGATTGTAGCATATGAGTAACTGATGCATCTAGATTGTTTTTGGTGAAAATTGAAAACATATGAGTTGAACTTGTGAAAGTTACCAAAGGGCCATTGGCCCAGCGGTACCGAGTAACCCCACCTTCTTGGAGGTAGGGGTTCAAGTCTCACCAAGGGTGAGAAGTTTTGAGATTTTAATTTGCCGTACTTCAAACTTGTAAAAGTTCATAATTTGGGCTTTGGATTCCACCAGAATCAGTTTAGAATTTGAAACTGGTAGTCAGATAGATGCATAATGTATGAAAACAACAGCTCATTTTGATTAGTTAGGAATACGAACAGAAAAAAGTTGGCAAGTATGTCGATGCTTGTGATTGGAATTGAAACTTTTTTCCATCTCCAAGTCAAGGAATATGACTCGTAATATCAATTCTGAACCACGCGAAGGAATTCCCAAACTTACCATAAGGGAATTCTAATCACAATCCAGCAATCCTAAACCTCGTATTCAACGCCTCAAAACCCTAGCACTAGCGTAAAAACTACGAATACCTTGCTGAGAAATCCGTCATAAGCAAGTTTGTAATTGCAATCAGGATGATCCAGAGGAACAACACGCTCATCAAGGAAGAAAATCAACCATTTCGACCAGTCTATGGAGTTAACATACGGAGGCTCCACCACTTTCCTGTCAAAAATTAAACTCAGATTCATCAAACAACACGTAATACACGATCGATCAATAACAATCACTAGGTTCCTACATTCATCCCGCAATCAAAGAGTGAGGGAGTAAAATTCAAAAATTGTAGGTTCTATTACCTGAGAGTATCGATTAAAGTACCACCGGAGAGCACAACGGAAAAAGAACCATGAGCGTCAATGAATTTAGCAGACAGATCAGCGATATACTTGGCAAGAGCGACGGCGACGTGTTCCTCCGTCTGAAGTTTCTGAATATTAAGAGGCGCCATCTTTTATCACTGGACAGAGATGGAGGTGACAAATAGTACCTCTGTATGCCCTTGGAATAGAAATATTATCATTGTCTTTGGGATTGCTAAGTAACTTGTTGACTTATTTTTGTCAGATATCGGTAATAAGTATTTTTAAGTGGTTGGATAAATAAGTTATACTAGTAATAAGGAGTTTTTAAATAAGTTAAACCTTTCTAACTTATAATAAATTAACAAGTGCTTTTGTAAAAAAACATAGGTTGTTTCAAATAAGCAATCCCAAACACCCATTATTCATTATTCTCGTTTCCAATTTGATTTTGTAGTTTATATAATCCAATTTTAGTCGTCAATTTAATCTAATGAATATTTGATTTTATAAATATTTCGATGATTTTTTAATTTAAAGCGGTGATTATAATAAATGAACGCTATCATCTTCAACAAAATATCTTGTTCATAATGAATGGATCATAATCGTTTTCCATAAATATCTTAACTGTTTTCTGATATAAGGTTTATATGGTTTGTAACATGTACATGTATGTATTTAAAACTATATATATAGGGTTGGGTTCCGATTAGAAGAGAAGTTATAGTGAGAAACGTAAAAAGAGATCTCCACTCTTGGATCAATCGTAATTAAATATCAACACTAATAAGGTGCATCGGATCAATTCCCTTTTAAAACGCAATTCATGAGTGGACATGAGAGTACAAGTGATCAATGGTTCAAATCTATCCTTATGTTTTTCACTGTAACTTCACTTCTCACATAATCATTCGTCTATATATATATATATATATATATATATATATATATACAGACTAATGATTGTGTGAGAATATGAGTTAAGTTGAGAAGCGTAAGAATGAATATGGACCTTTATCACTTTTATCTCAACCTTACCCCATGAATTGCGCCTGATATAGGATGTAATTTGATGCATCTCATCACTGTTTATCTTCAATTATGATTAATTTAATGGTGAAGATCATTTATTATCTTTCTCATTATAACTTATTTTTTTCTCACCGGAACCCAACCTGATATATATATATATATATATAATGAGAACCCAAGCAACGGAGAACAGGGTTTTCGACGGATCAACGATTGTTGTTTCATCGGTGTGGGATGACGGTGGTAAGAGTTCTAAGAGGCGGTTGGCCACGTGTTTCTAGGTTTTTTATTCCCAAAATTGTCTTTGATTCCATGGAATGAAATAACATATAGACGAAAACTGTGTTTGATATCTTCAGGTAAAATAACATATAGATGAAAACCGTGTTTGATTTCATGGATGAATTAGATCATACGTGAAAATTTCTCTTTGATTGCATGTTGAAATAACAAACATATGAACATTATGATTGAATTTCACGAGGTTAAATAGCTTATTTATGAAAATTGTGCTTTATTTCATGAAGTGAAATAACACAGCGAGTATGTGTTTTCATTCGATGGATGAGATATTGAAGTTTACAGTCTTATTTCACTTTTGATTTATATGAGGTGGTGTTGAAGTATAAAATCTGAATCAATAAGAATGTTTGTTTTTGTAAACTAATAAATGTCTGAATTTGCTTACATTGTTTATTTACTTATTAAAAAATTACAGTGTTGAATTTATAGATGTGTTTACACAATTTCACATATTTATTCATCACCATTACGAGATTTACATCATATAATTAGTATTCATTTAAATGGAAATATGTCATTAACAATATTTAACACAAAATACATCAATTGAGAGAGAATAGGATCGGTTTGATAAGGATCGATTGAGAGAAATGACTCATTCAAGTTAATTAATCGATTGAGAAACGTCATTGTTAAGAATATGAATAACAATAAGAGGCAAATAGGATATTGGTTTACTTCTTATCAGATAAATAAGACAATAAAAGATAAGTGTATCTGAAAAATTGAAATTTTTTTTTATCTAAATAGTCTTACCTCTTAATGAATCAGACATAAAAGACCGATAAACTTTATTTCCAAAGAACAAACAAGATCTTAGATTTATCAGAGCAGTAATTTAGAAGTTTTAACTGATCTGATTTATGAATTAAATATAATTTTGAAGGTAATAATGATGTACACTTGATCAACGACAATCTTTTTGAAAAGGAAACAAAAAGGATAAAGAGATTGGGCATTTACGATGTTGATAAGATTCTTTTCACGTACCTTATCAACAACATAAAACACACACGAATATAATTTAAAGGGATATTTTCCTAAAATTGCACATGTATCGTTCGTTTAAAATGCAAACTCATTTTATAGTATTAGAAGGGTACTTGTACAATGTAGCAAGATAAATTTTGATTTTAATGTTTCATTTTTTTTTTTTGTCTCAGTTAATGTTATAATACAGTTTTATGTGGTTTTGATAAAGTGATAATGTTTTTATGTTTGAATAAAATATAAATATGAAGATATCATAAAAAAATTGAAATAAATATATTGATATTAGTATCAAACTAACTACTTAAAAGTTCTCTTCTTTTGTGTATTTATTTAATTCATTTTTTATTTAATAATATAATTTTTTATAACGATAATAGTCAAATATTTTGTTAGAAATCAATGATTATCCTAATTATAGTTTAGATTTTTTATATTTAAAATGAAATATTTATCTTCTATTTGATTATGTGTATCTGTAGTTAGTTAAACAAATTCAAACATGAAAATTTAATAAGTTGTACTTACGCACAATTTATTTGTAATCTTAAATTTTAAATAATATGCATCAATAAACAGTACTTTATGCATAAAAAATAGAAATTAGCAATCGTTTTTGCTGACTTTGGATTTAGGGTAAAAAAAATCTAACTTGCGTTGATATTTCCGTTGCTACTCAATACACCTAAACTCGTTAGTACATCTAGGCACATGATTATAATGACTTTTTATAGTCATTTTTCTCTTGAACTCTGTGATATTAGAAAATCAAAACCATATAAATCCATATTATAATATTGACAGAGACCAAAAAATTAAAACGAAACATTAAAATCGAGATATGTTTCATTGCATTATGTGAGTACCCGTCTAATAATAAATAAAACAAAAAGATAGGAAAAAAAATGTACGGTTAATTTGACAAATTTAAATTTATTAAATGGACATTGACTCATGTGACCATTTCAATAAGATATCAATTTTGTTCAAATCCAACAATTATTTAAATTTTGATAAAAGAGGAAAGAATGACGATCTTGACCAGGCCCAACGACTTTTATTACGTTGTCTTGGTTTGAATCGAGACTATAAGAGGTCAATCCTTAAGGTAGGGGGTGCTTATGGATTGGGTTGATCGGATTGAAGACATTTGAACAATCCAATTTAATGCTTATGTTTTGGAAAATTTTAACCCAAACCAAAGTGCAACCCAACCCAACCCGTACAGGTTGGTCGGGTTGGTCGGATTAATACTTTGGTACATTAAAATATTCTTCTAACCTTAAACATGTTATTTCTTTACTCATAATTTCTTTTTCATCATCAACCATTTGATACAATTTATCCATATTTCTTACGTATATYACATTCAGTTAATTTTCTCAATTTACATATATATGTTCACAGTTACCGAACATATATATACGAATGAGTTATATAGAGATGTAAATAAATTGAAAATATGTGTGTATGAAAATCATAAATGATAATGTAATTGTCTAATGTATATATTAATAGAAATTCAACAATCATATTAAATCCAAAAAATAAAAAGATATCGGGTTCATCGGGTTGGGTTGAGTTCAAATAATAGTAACTCAATATCAACCCAATACCTACGGTTTGACAATTTTACAACTCGATTTGACATCGGGTTGCTTCGGGTTGGGTTGTTTCGCGTTGGGTTGGTCGGGTTTTTGAGCACCCCTAATTAAGGGTGTTTCCGTTTTTATAGCTTATTCAGTCAGCTATAAATAAATGTTTGGTAGTGGCTTAATGATATAGAAAATGACTTATTTAGTAAGCTTTTTAAGGAGAAGATTTTATGTAGAAACTGTAGTTTTTTTTTTTTTCTAAACATGTAACTCCCAATTAAAAAAACGTGCTCCTTTCATCTAAAGAAAACATTCTCAAACAAAAAAAAAATCAATCTATATAGACAGATTAATCGGCACAGACAACTTTATTCATATATGTTTTAATAGAAAATCAATCAAACAACCCATAATTGTTGCTTAATATATTGAACGTTAGGTGTTTGGTCAATTATCAGTTGGTATCTAGAAACTGGTAGTTTTGAATCGGCCAAAATGCAACAACGATTGTCTTTAACTTCTTTTTAATGTGACGATAAAATTTATTATGTAATTAGTGTAACAAACATTCGATTATTAATATTTTCTTACTAATTTTGACTAGTAACGAGTAGATATTGTAACTATTGTTGATTTTCGTGTCAAATTATCAAGTTATATTGTAATTTTGATTATATGGAAAAATGTTGGAACAAAATCAATTGATGTCACGTAGGATTAGAGGTGTGCATCGTGTGGGGCGGGCGCTTTCCGGTGGGCAAATCAAAAATCCGATCGGATTTCGGATATGGAAATCAAGTCCTGATTTGTGGGCTTCGGATTTTAGATTGCTTCATGTTCGAGTTGGTCGGGTTTCGGGTTGAGGCCGGTCGGGTTCGGTTTAGTTTTAATGCAAAAGGTATATATATTCAATCGATTTAGAGAATTGATAAATTGATAGTATGCTTAGAAATTATAAAATAGCACGACCGACTAGAATTTTTAGAATTTTCAAAAGATAATTAGATAAATAAATATGATATATAGTATTTAAAATATATATGTATATATAGTTCGGTTTTTAGAACGGATCGAGTGACCAAAACAAACCTAACCCAAGCCTAAATTTTCCCTCGAAAGTTGGTTTTCGGATTTTTGGATTTCAGGGAATTGGGGTTTTGCATAAATACTTTATTTTCGGTTCGGATTTCAAATCATTCGGGTTCTGCACACCCCTACGTAGGATGAAACCCCTTTTATTAAGTAAAGTAATATTATAAAGTATTTGACAAAAACTCTTAAAAACAATTTTTTATACATGAAGTACTGTTTATTGATGTATATTATTTAAAATTTAAGATTACAAGTAAATTGTGGATAAATACAACTTATTAACGTTCCATATCAGTTTAAGAAAAAAGTATTTATTTTATTATACCTCTTAAAAACAATACATAATATAAATAGAAAGATGATTTCACATACCGGTATCGGTTTTCCTTAGTTCAGAAGTTGCAGCCATGTCCAAGAACCATGTGAGCCCTCCTTCCGGCGAAACCTTTTGCACCGGCAACGGGTAACCATAAGAAGCATGTTTTCCCAATGCCACCTTCACGGCATCAGCTGCATCTTCACCGGTCACCACCATTGCAATCTCCGATGCCGAATTGATCAATGGGAAAGTGAACGTGATCCTTGGAGGCGGAGGTTTGGGTGAATCCGTGATGAATGTTACCCATCGTGTCTTTTCAAACCGTTGAAAATGCCAACCAAAGAGCGATGCAACGTGCCCTTCTGGGCCCATTCCGACTAGCATTAGATCAAATTTAGCAAACCCTGTTTTTGGCGATGTTTTTAGCGTGTTGTTTGCTACCAAATGTTTAAGTCGTTGCTCGTATTCATCGGCTGCATCCGAGGGTGATAATTTGTCCTTGATGGGATAGATGTTGGACTCAGGTATTGGCACCTAATTAACGCCGTATTTGAATAACGAGTGGCAATTTTAGCTACCGAAAGCGTAAAGATAATTAACGCAGGTAGGAAATATGGGAACAAAATCACGGTTTTAAAATCTCACGTCTTATTCCTTGTCACATCAATAAAATTAAAATACATTAGACTTTTATTTATTTTAAATTTATCCAATCCATGTTCAAATTCTTTTTTTTATTAACTCAGATATAGATATCCAACCTATCCCAGGACGATCTGACCACATTTGAACCTCCATGGCCACAACACAAGAGGATTTTTATTCCTTCTTGGATTTGAACCTGAGACCTGTTACTTTTGACCTTCGGATTTGAACTACATTCTCTCTTTTAACTATGTGTATTTATATCAAACACAGATTATTGTTGAAGACAATGGAATTGCAATTTAGAAGCATGCCATAAAGGAATCTGGAATCCCAATCGCAATCGCAATCGCAATCGCAATCGCAATCGCAATCACAATCGAACAAGTAATCCTTCAAAACCCTAAGATTTAGCGCATAAATTAAACATACCTTGCTGAGAAATCCATCATAAGCAAGCTTGTAATTCGAATCAGGATGATCCAGAGGAACAACTCGTTCATCAAGGAAGAAAATCGTCCATTTCGACCATTCTATTGAATCAACATAAGGAGGCTCAACCAATTTCCTGTTCAAAATACAACTCGAATCTCATCAAAGAAAGCATTAAATCATCAACAACAATCACTAGTTTTCTACATCCATTCGTGAATCATAGATCTACGGAGTAAAAATTTACAGTTGATTACGTACCTGAGTGTATCGATTAAAGTACCGCCGGAGAGCACAACGGAGAAAGAACCATTGTCGGCGATAAATTTAGCAGAGAGATGAAGAATGTAGATGGCAAGGGCGACGGCGACTTGCTCCTCCGTCTCAAATGTTTGAATAAGAGGGGTTGGTGGCGCCATTTTTGATGGTTGAAGAAGATGGAGTTGACGGATGGATCATCTATGTACCTACTTTTATAGTGTGAGTCAATATACATTTAATTTTAAATAATCTTCATCTACACGTTACAACATTTTTTTATTAACCAGATATTCAACCTATTATGCGAACCGATTAATTCAAGGACGACTACCTGCTTTGCAGGTAGCCCGGAGTCACCGCATTTGAACCTCCATGGCCACAAGGAGATTTTTGTTTCTTTTTGAATTTGAACCTGTGACAACCTGACACTTTTGACCTTTAGAGTCAAGCTCAAACCAATCATGCACCACTCTTGTGGTTCACGTTACAACATTTTTCAACTCGTGGTTTTCTGAAATCACAATACATTGGATTCTTACTTGAAATCGTGCATATCACTTTCCGAATCAGATATTTCGACCATAAAACCTTGGGTTGTACGGAATTCTGAATATAGGATAATCCAATAAGAAACAATCTAATTTCTTAGGCACATAAATTAAATACGCTACTGTGTGTTTTGAATATTCTAAATCCTCCCCCATCGAGAGCCAAAAAACGAAGGTTTTATCTAGAAAATAAGATAAGACCAGACAGTTATCGAAGGTTCAGTAGTTAAAGATCTAAAAACTTCCGTTAGGAACTAACCAGCTGCCTTCATACGAAAATTTTTGGTGCACCACGGGCGGGGCCTCTTTGACCGTACCGAGATCAATCTAGTTTTATATAAGTGTGTGTTTTGCACCTCCTAACTTGCATAAAAAAAACTAAGTAAAGATCCACTATAACTCTCGTATATTTATCTTACACCAAATGAAAACCGGTGACACTAAAATCACCAATAAATAAAATAAAATATTTAAATGTACTTTTTATGCCGGTTGGTTTTTTAAGCAAGTTTATAGATGGGTCCTCAAAAGCCGGTCCAGAATTGTTTAATTAAAAATATTGTTATTTTTAATCATAATAACTAATTTTTTTAATTATTGTCTTTTTATTATAATAAGTAATTCTAACTATTATAATTTTTTATTGTTATAGTTTTTTATTATATTAGAAGAGTATTCATGTAACGCAGCGAGACATATCTTGATTTTAATGTTCTATTTTATTATTTGTCTCTTATTGCATAATACGATTTTATGTGTTTTTAAGAAAATAATTATTATTTATTTTTAAATAAAATATAAATTTAAAGATATCATAAAATTTTGAAAAAATATATATATCAATGTTAATATCAAAT